GATCCTCTCTGATCTGGATGCATCAGATACAGTGGGGTAGAGTGGCCCCAATCCAGATGCTCAGGGTAGGGTGAGGCAGAGCAGCCCCAATCAAGATGCATGGGTGGGGAGCAGCCCAGCCCTGATCTGGATGCTCAGAGGGGCTGGGTGGAGTGCAGCAGCCCCTAACCAGATGTGTTGAGGGAGCGGAGAGCAGCCTGGTCTGATCTGGACATGCTGGGGTGGGATCTGCCTTGATCCCACTGCATCACAATGGCCTGGGTAGGGCTGGACCCAGCCATGAGGAACTTCCCCAGCTCTCCAGCTGCCCATTTTTTCTAGCCTGTGGGGATTCCTGTAGGCCAAAGGTTGAGCCCCCCAGACTAGACTACCTTTCTCTGAAGACAGATAAAGAATTGCTACTGTGCAACATGGTGTTTCAAAATATAGGTATAAGGTACATCAAATATTTTTCATAGGAAATACATAAAAGAAGATGAAGCAAGTAGAGAGATATTGTTCAAAACCACAGCCTCTCCCTTTGAAAGCCTCACTAATGGTAACTTTGGCTTCATGCTACAAAGAAAATCTTTAAGATCCAAGAATAGCAAGCAATACATTTTAAATATTCATAAAAGCTTGTTGGCTACAATCCCCAAATGGATCATGCTATATTGTGTTTGTAATAATGAACAAGATAAATGAACTAAAGTTCATATAAACAGACTAGATTAAAAATATGACTAAATAAAAAAAACAAAACAAAACACTATTGAAAAAATAAACTTTGCAAGAAAAACATTCCTAAAGCAAGATCTTGCACTGCATTTGAGAACCAACTGTTCTCAAATCATTATAACATTTCTGGATATCTATACACAATCTCTCTCTATCTACCTAGATAGATATAGATATGCACAGAAAATGTTTCAACAAAATGAAGTTTTTGAAAAGGAAATTTAACCAAATTTTTACCCATTCTAATATGGTCTCTGGTATAAAGAAAAAAATCCTAAATAATTAAAATTGACTAGGTTAATGACTATACTTCGTGTGTGACCCAGCTATAAGGCCTTGTTCCTGCAAAGTGCTTCACAGGATAAAGCTTTAACTCCATAAGTGAACATGAAAATATTGAACCATGACCATTACATTGGTGGATAGATGGAACACCTCGCAGGAGAATACCCTTGGCAACCTGAAGTCTCTCAGAACTTGTAACACAAGTAAACCATAGAGAGAAGGAAACACTGGTCTATGCATAAGGGAAGGAGATCAGCAGTCTACATTTCCCAAATCAACTAACTGATAGTAAGAAACATGTCTTTTCTCTTCTGGGATAACAAAATATGTAACCTGTTTTCAGATGAAAAAAAGTCTAAAACAGGGTTTAGATGGATGGGGATCAAACCTGAACCAAGATATGTAAAGAAAACAACAATGAACCAAAATTCCGATTTACTCTTGCTAAGTATTTCCCCCACCTGCTGTACTCTTTACTTAAATGAGCTAGTAAAGGTGTTCAAAATTACACTTTCATATTCAAGTAATTTTTCCGTTGTGTATGTGGTCCATTGACAAGATACATACCAAAAATCATAAGGAAAAAACCAAAACAAAACTTATTCTCATACACTTGGAACTATTCTACAAGCTAATGACCACTGCCTTGTGCTCCACAATGGTAAACATTGTGCTTATATGACCGAAGTTCTTTCATGTTCTCAATATTGCAAGTCAATAATAAAAAGAGTTAAACAGGTCTCCTTGATAGGCTTCTATTTATCTGTATATAGAAAATTAATAATTCACCATGTTTATATAGTTTTAAAGAAAAGTCAAAGTCAAAAGAATAAGCTTTGAATCATAACTACTTGAAAAATGTATTTTTGCACAATTTTTTAAAAGAAAATACCCAATTTATTTAGAGAATTAGTATATAGGAAACAAGCAATGTACTGACCTTCTAGAAGTATTTTGATATAATCCAGGCAAAACTGTGAAAGATACAACTGTATTAGTATTATACATTACTGAAATTCCACAATCCCTTCTCCCACCAAAATACACTTTAAGGACATGAAGGATTAACAACTCTACATTTAAAAATTATTTTAAATCAGGAAAGCTTGTGAATATTAAGAAACTAAGGAAATTGACTCCAAAAAAACTGAATACATTATACTTTAACAATCTGAACAAATAACCATATTCTCTTATGTTCAATGTCTCTATAATGCCGATTGTTGAAAATATCTAGGAACCCCCTTCCACTCTACGTTTACTCTGATTTTCATTTAAAAGGTTTAAAATACCCTGAAAAATTTAGTAAGCCAAGACCAATGCTACAGAGGAGAATGTCACTGCAGACCACGTGACTGGAAAACTGTCCTAAAAAAAACATAAGCAAAGTGAATAATTGCCAGGGAAGAAATAGATACCTCTTTACTAATTAAGGGCTTCTGACTTCCCTGACATATGGGCATCTTTACACATGCTCCGGGGTGGGGGAGGTGCTTTAAATAGAGAGGCTTTCAGAAGCCGCTCTAATTAAAAGTGCCCACAGTGTCTCATGCATTCAGCGGCCCATGCTTCAAAATGGTAGTAGGGGCGCTTTAACTAAAGCTAGTTCAAATGATATTTAAAAGCACCCCCCATCCCATTTTAAAGTGCAGGGACACTGAATACATGTGACAGCAAAACTGCTGGAGCCTGCTAATTAGCACACTCCAGCAGTCTTGATTAAACATACTTATAGGCTCGGTGGTGCTACCAGCACCACAACTGAAAGAGACCTGGGGGTCATGATTGACCATAAAATGAACATGAGCCACCACTGCGATGCTATAGCCGGCAAAGCGAACACCACTGTGGCATGCATCAACCAATGCATCACAAGCAAGACTAAGGATGTCATCCTCCCACTCTACTCGGCATTGGTGAAACTGCAGCTGGAATACTGTGTCCAGTTCTAGGAGCCGCAGTTCAAGAGTCCAAAGGATGGCCACATGAATGAATACAGGTCTGAATAAACAGACCATACAAGGAGAGGCTGAGGGACTCGGTACTGTTCAGCCTAGAGAAGAGAAGACTCAGAAGGGACTTGGTGGCAGCCTTTAAGTATATAAAAGGGGCAAACATCAGGGGCTAGGAGAACACTGGTCCGGTCCTGTAGGGAGCAGACCAGGAAAGCCAAGGCTGCAACTGAACTCCAGCTAGCTTTGAGCATCAAGGACAATAAGAAGTCCTTTTTCAGATATGTGGGGAGCCGGAGGAAAAGCAGGGGCAACATTGGACCCCCGCTGAACCAGATGGGGCAACTGACAACTGACGCCCAGGAAAAAGCCAACCTATTAAATAGGTACTTTGCGTCAGTCCTTCATCAGTCCCATGGGACGCCCATGCCCGCTACAGGGCCGGGAAGTCCGGGTGAGGGTGATCCCCTGCCCTCCCTTAATGCTGACTTTCTGAAGGAACATCTTGAGAAGCTGGATACCTTCAAGTCAGCTGGCCCTGACAATCTCCCCCCCAGGGTACTCAAGGAGCTGGCGAGCATCATAGCCCAGCCTCTAGCACGGATCTTTGAAAACTCTTGGCGCTCTGGTGTAGTGCCCGAAGACTGGAAGAAGGCCAATGTGGTGCCTATCTTCAAGAAAGGGAGGAAAGTGGATCCGGCTAACTATAGGCCCATCAGCCTGACTTCTATCCCGGGGAAGATCTTAGAAAAGTTTATTAAAGAGGCCATCCTTAATGGACTGGCCGACGCCAACATCTTAAGGGATAGCCAGCACGGGTTTGTTGCGGGTAGGTCTTGCTTGACCAATCTCATTTCCTTCTACGACCAGGTGACCTATCACCTGGACAAGGGAGAAGAGATTGATGTCATATATCTTGACTTCAAAAAAGCCTTCGATCTGGTGTCCCATGATCGCCTCTTGGAGAAACTGGCCAATTGTCGCCTTGGGTCCTCCACGATCCGCTGGCTGGAAAATTGGCTCCGGGGTCGGACCCAGAGGGTAGTAATCGATGGAAGTCACTCATCGTGGTGTCCTGTGACCAGTGGGGTCCCCCAAGGCTCTGTCCTTGGACCCATACTGTTCAACATCTTCATTAATGATGTGGACACTGGAGTCAGAAGCGATCAGAACTGGCCAAGTTCGCCGATGACACCAACCTCTGGGGCAAAGCATCCACACCAGAAGACAGGCAGGTTATCCAGGCTGACCTGGACAGGCTCAGCAAGTGGGCGGACGAGAATCTGATGGTGTTCAACGCCGATAAATGCAAGGTTCTCCACCTTGGGAAAAAAAACCCGCAGCATCCTTATAGGCTCGGCAGTGCTATGTTGGCTAGCACTATGGAAGAAAGAGACTTGGGGGTCATCATTGACCACAAGATGAACATGAGCCTGCAATGCGATGCGGCGGCTAGTAAAGCGACCAAAACGCTGGCTTGCATCCATAGATGCTTCTCAAGCAAATCCCGGGACGTCATTCTCCCCCTGTACTCGGCCTTAGTGAGGCCGCAGCTGGAGTACTGTGTCCAGTTTTGGGCTCCACAATTCAAAAAGGATGTGGAGAAGCTTGAGAGAGTCCAGAGAAGAGCCACGCGCATGATCAGAGGTCAGGGAAGCAGACCCTATGATGACAGGCTGAGAGCCCTGGGGCTCTTTAGCCTGAAAAAGCGCAGGTTCAGGGGTGATCTGATGGCCACCTACAAGTTTATCAGGGGTGACCACCAGCATCTGGGGGAACGTTTGTTCACCAGAGCGCCCCAAGGGATGACGAGGTCGAATGGTCACAAACTACTTCAAGATCGTTTCAGGCTGGACATAAGGAAGAACTTCTTTACTGTCCGAGCCCCCAAGGTCTGGAACAGCCTGCCACTGGAGGTGGTTCAAGCGCCTTCATTGAACACCTTCAAGATGAAACTGGATGCTTATCTTGCTGGGATCCTATGACCCCAGCTGACTTCCTGCCCTTTGGGCGGGGGGCTGGACTCGATGATCTTCCGAGGTCCCTTCCAGCCCCGATGTCTATGAAATCTATGAAACACCTGTTCACCAAGGTACCCCAGGGGAAGACTAGGAATAATGGTCATAAGATGATAGAGGATCACTTCAGATTAGACATTAGGAAAAACTTCTTTATGGTTTGTATGTCCAGAGTCTGGAACAGACTCCCCGCCAGAGGTGGTACAATCAGCTTCCCTGGGGATCTTCAAAAAAATGACTGAAGGCACACCTCACTGGGGTCATCTGACCTCAGCAGTCTTTCCTGCCTTGAGCAGGGGGGCTGGACCTGATGATCTTCGAGGTCCCTTCCAGCCCCTAACTTCTATAAATCAAGTCTGTTCTGACATGCTAATTAGCACACACCAGAGCAGGCGTAGGGCACATGTAGAGGTGCTCATTATGCACCATTAACTCACATGGATTTCAGTGGCAGTTGAGTGTGCTAGGTAACCCACACCCCCAAAAGTACTTGACTACGTAAAAAAGAAACAAACCTTACACAGTGGCAGGGAGGTATAAGCACTGTGTGACAACTGGGGATGAATCTGACTCTTCATTTTAGATAAAGGCAGACTTTTCTTTCTTACCAACATATAAAAGTGATACAATGCCCTTCCCCTCCCACCTTGAAAGGAGATCTTGCTTAGAAAAAAATTAAAAAAAAAGGTATTTACTTACAATTACAGGTTCTACCACCATTTTTCGCAGGGTTCCTATTCGTATGCTTCGACAATTTAGAATGACACTTTCACAAGAGTTTTGGTAACTTAAAGATACAGCTTCTGTTACAATTTCTTGAGAAGTAACTTTACGACGTTTTATTGGAGTGTTAGATACAATATTGCCAAACTGCAAAGCAAATTTCAAGGTCAGAATGGCTCAATAGAATTACCTCACAAAGATGCTGTCAATTTTCCTTAATGCTTAGAGAGAGAGAGAGAGCGCGAGAGCGTGTGTGTGTGTGTATTAATTGTTAATATTAAAATAAATAAATATTTTTAAAAAGACAAGACAAGACAAGTTTGTTCATATATGACTACATTGCAAAAAATAAATTAAGGCTTGAAATATCCATCAAGGTTGAATCAAGTGCAACCTTCAAATTATAAGAAGGATTTGATTTACAGCCTGATCAGGTAACTTCCCCTCATCCCTGATCAACAACACATCAAGTGCTTGCTGTATTTCAGATATAAAGCTTTGGCATGTATAACATCCAAGACATGAATCACTAGTCACTTTTGACATAGTTCCTAGTACACATTGGAATGCTTTGTATTTAAAGTGCAACAGATATAAGATCATCACCAGGGAAGTAAATCTAGCTCAGTGCAGTTGAACATTTTGCTACCCCTACTACCTTTGGAGAGACCTTTTCATTTTCCTAGCACTGCAAGCACCAATTCATTATGCTTACAATTTGCTTCCATTTTAGTATGAAAAGTATAAAAGACTGACAGACAAATCATAACCAATGTATTGCAGATAAATGTTTCATACAAGAAAAAACTGACCAATATGAGCAGGCATGATTAAATACTAAAATCTGTATCTGTTACCTCTTCACACAGTTATTTAGGTAACGAAAAACTGCCAGCTTTTTGCACAATCTATGATAACACCAGTTGTAGCAGACAATTCATGGCAGTTTCCTTGAATTGTGGCCAATGCATATTACTTACCAGGTATTTCAGTACACCTGTCATTCATTCAGCAAACATTATGCGCCTCCCTCCCCCAGTTCAAGATGGTCAGTAAGACCCAACTGTTAACTGCGGATTCTTTAAAACATTGGGGACAGGAATATAGCATCTGCACAGCTAGCAAGACAGGAAGGTTTTGAACAGCACAAATAGCACTTCAGGGCCTAACTCCAATGAACTGACAATTCACCATTTTCAAGTAGCTCAGACAATAAATTCAGAGGGATAATAGATGAGTTGAAATGGAAGTTTAAGAGCCACAACTGTACAGAGCAGACTCTTCATTTGAATCAGTAAGAGCTCTCATTAGGAGACTTATTACAAGTTAATGAATATATTCTATTATGGCATCTAGTAAGTCTAGGTTACAGAGGATGGAATTTTAGACTCTCAACCTACAATACTGAAAATTCTTGGTTAGAATGCTCAGCTCGCCCAGTAATAAAGGCCTTCCACCTTGGTTCTAAAATCCTGTGCGCCAGGTGTTTTTAACCTTTTTGGATCATTGTACCCCCTCGGCTCCCAAGCGGCTGGGGGGGGGCCCTGCGGTCAGACACAGAGCAGCAGCAGCCAGGGCATGCAAGCAGTGGGCAGCGCCTGCACAGCAGCGCAGAATGGTGTGTGGCGGCACTCCGTCCCCGCCCACCCACGTGTACCTCCTAGGGCCTTTTCAAGTACAACCCCTGCTGTATACTATCAATATGTGCTTTCTGGATCTAATTCACAGAAGTCTAATAGCACAAGGTCCAAAAAGCTTTAAGCAGTACCCTGTGTCCATTGGCTACCAAGGTTCAAAGAGTATTTATCCTTTCTGAAGCAAACAGTCAGCGGTTATTATGGTCTCTATATACAGTGAAATTGGTCCTTTTTGGTCATACTTATGGTGCACTTTTTGTCCTTGCTGTATGTCAAACTCTTGCAGTTGTGCACATTAAAACCAACCCCCCTCCCACCCCCCCAAAAAAACAACCAAAACCAACCAAAACCCAGCAACCAGGGTGCAATCCTTAACTTAAGTGCTATAATTGCCATGGTTGAAGTATTAAAATTTTAAGTTTAATAAGGACCATCACTGTCCACTCTTCCTTTAAGATATTTTTTGTGCTAAAAAGTTATCCTTTCATTAATGCACATTCCACTTCATACTCTAAAATGGAAGAAAAGGTATATAATTATACAGATAATTATTTTGTTCACCACTGTACACAACGAAGGTTATGTCAGAAATGTTACATTACTAAAGCATGTATAGATACACCCAGATGACTACGCTTCAAAACATACAGGAAAGGGATAGTTCCTGACTATTAAAAATGGAATCATTTACAAAAAGTTATGGTAAAAGAGACTTTAAATTTCTTATTTATAATCTGAACTAAATTATAATTAGGTACCTGATCTTTCATTCTTGCTTTTCTTGGCAACGCGATTGCAATTTCTGTATCGGTTACAATATTATTTAGTTTCTGTTCTATTCCACAAGTATTTTCTTTTAATGCTGCCTCCACCTTTCCTGTAGAGGGTGCTGGGGAAGAACAGGCTGAATCGGCCGGGCGAGGTGAAATGCTTTCCACTCTGTTAGTGCTGCCATTATCCTCATCTTCCTCTTCATCATCACTGGACAAAACAACTAAAAAGCAAAATCTAAAATGTAGCGCCTGTTATGTATTTGCATGACTTAAGAGTTTTTTTTAAATGACTATTAAATTACTTTTCCTTTTACATAGTAAGCATGCACAGGACCAAATATTATCCACAATATTAATTTTCTTTGTCACAGAACCATAGGGTTGGAAGCAACCTAAAGGGTGAGCTGGTCCAACTATTCTACAAATACAGGAATGCTACTCCTAAATAAAGCCTGATCAATCTGTTCCCAACCTCTTCTTGAAAACCTCCAGCAAAGTAGATTTCACAATTTCCCTAGCAATCTATTCCACAGCCTCTCTGTTCTAACTAGGAATTTCTACCAAATACCTAATCTAAATCTACTTTCTTGCAATTTAAAGATATTGCCTTGTGTCCTGTTTTGTGTCTGCAGCAAGGGAGAAAAGTTGTTTTTTCTTCTTTATAGCAGCCTTTCATGTACTTGAAGGCTGCCATCTCATAACCCTCAATCACCTTTTCTGTAAGCAAAACAAGTCAGGTTCTCTCAACCTTTCCTCATACAGGTTCCCGTCCAACCTCTTTACCATTTTTGTTGCCCACCTCGGAACACTAACTTCTCCACACACTTTTGAAAACTGTAGAGTCCAGAACTGCACATAATACAAACCTTAAATCAGCATCCAATTAGAGCAGTACTATCACCTCCCAGGTCTTATACCTAGGGACCTACCCAAATCACAATTGTGCAGATTTCACTAAAATTGTGAAATCAAGTGATCTCCATGAAATCCGCAGGGGCAGGAAACTTAATAAAAATAAAACGCTGGCTCCCCAGTAAGGGCCATGCAGCTTGCTTGAGTGAAGGGTGGAGAGAGGCTTCCAGCATAACGGCCAGCAGGCAAGATGGCTTCCACCCTCACCACTGACTGGCTGAGAGGACTGCCTGTTGTGTGGCCCCACACCTTTCCACCAATCAGCAGCAAGGGGCAGGGCTTCATGACAGACAGCTCTCAGCCAATCGGGGGAGGGGGGTGCACAGCCATGATAACCCATTGGAAGTGGCAGCCGGTGTTGCAATCTGCCTGTGAAATCAGCCAGCTGCCTCCAAGTTGGGTAGACCCCTACTTATACTTAATACTCCTGTTGATGCAGCCCAAACACTACTGACTCTCGTGGATCACAGAATCAACATAACCCCAAAGATCCTTCTCAGTAATGCTGTCACCCAGCTAGTCACCTCCCATTTGTATTTGTGCTTTTGATTATCCTTCCTTAGGTGTAATACAGTACATTTGCCCGCATTGTGTTTTTGCATGTCTATTTGAAGTTTGCCGTAGACTTGCTCTTATCTTCTTCCACAGAGGAAGCCGCATTTAAGATACTTACTTCTTAGTGTCACATAGTGAGTAGTACAATAAAGGGGTTTCAGATTTCACAGATGGATATAAGTGGAAAAAACAATTTCTTTATTAAGAGAAATCATTCTGGTCAATAAGGAATTAGCAATGACCAGTATGAGTTCAATCAAATTTAATCCTCTTTTGTTAGAAAAAATAGTTTTGAAAAGATTGTGTAGGACAGGCAAACATTAAAACTGATCAAAGAAAGCAGAGCTCGAACTATTCATACCTGAATGGAAGAAAGATATAGTAAACTATGCATAAATCAGAAAAAAAAAACCCCAACTTCTCATGCCAGCACTGCTACTGAACTAAGTCAGTCACTGAAAATTTGTGTTCTTCTACCTCTGTACACATATAGTTTAAATCAGAAAGCCCCTACCTCTACTTTTTCCCGTATGGCTTGGTTTATAATTTCCAAAATGAACCATTTATCCCCTTTTATACTTTTCCCAAGCAAACTATCACAATTACTTTGTCAGTTGCTGAGGTAAGAGATGTATTTGAATTCTAAGCAACTTTTAACTTGACCAAAACGTCAAGGTTTCACACTGCTATTCCTTCGAGGAAACTATAACTATCCTTATGGAAAATTTCTTCAGTGAAACACTTTATAGGGCTGTGATTTTCAGGGGTTACACTGAACCCAAACATTTCTAATTATCACTTGTAAATATTTTAGAACAGGCTCAAAAAACCAGAGTACTGAGTTCACTTGGTCAATAACAGGAATAAATTCATCCCGACACACAAACAAAAAAAAATACCAGTATTTTCCTTCAACATTAAAACATATAGTAGGAATGTCATTCTTAAAACCTATATGAAACTCCTATTTTCTAATAGCCAAAACTATTCAGTACTAAGTCTAATTGAGTTTATATTGCACAGATAGTCTCTCATTACTGGAAGAGTAATGAGCAGGGATCCTAGTTTTCTCTGATAAACCAAAATTGAAGATTTTTTTAAAGTAACCTAAAATCCACATTTTTCCATTATTAGAATGTACCACCATTTTAATCATGGAAAAATATAGGTTTTGTGTTACTTTTTTAAAACCGAAAATTGGGGATTTTTTTTTAAATCAGAGAAAACCAGGATCCCTGGTAATGAGTAACGTCTTGGATGATTAGAAAAGGGTAAATATAGTGCACGTTTTTAAGAAAGGGAAGAAGGCTGATCCAGGGAATTATAGACCAGTTAGTCTGACATCAGTGGCTGGACAGATCATGAGGCAGGTCCTCAAGAAACCTATTTTGAAACACTTAGAGGAGAACAAGGTGATCAGGAACAGCCAGCATGGATTCACCAAGAATAAGTCAGTCATGCCTGACCAACCTGATTTCCTTCTATAAGGTAACAGAGTCTTTAGACAGAGGGAGAGCAGTGATGTGATATTCCTTGACTTTAGCCAGGCTTTTGACACCAGTTCCCATGACACTCTCATTAACAAACTAAGGAAATACAGACTAGACAAAAGTACTGTAAGGAAGATAACAAAACTGGTTGGATTATCATGTTCAGTGGGTAGTCATCATTGGTTCAAAGTCTAGTTGTGAAGAGATATCAAAAGTAGGGTTCTGCAGGGGTCTATTCTGGGTCTAGTAGTGTCTGTTAACATCTTCATTAAATGATCGAGACAACGGGGCTGAGTGTACAATTAGCAAATCTGTGACACCAAGTTGAGTGAGGTTGCATATACTCTGCAGCACAGGACTAGGATCCAGAATGACCTGGACAGAGTGGAAAAAAGGTACACAATCAACGAGATGAGATTCAGCAAGAAAAAAAGTCCGGCATTTGGGACAGAATAATTGCATACACAGATACAGACTGGGGAATGACTGGCTAGGCTGCAGTTCTGCAGAAAAGTCATGGGGTTATAGTGAACCATAAGCTGAATGAGCCAACAGTATGCTTTTGATGCAAAAAAAGCCAACAGCACACTGGGTTGTATTAACAGAAGTGTCACCTGCAAATCAAGGGAAGCAATTCTTCCACTCTATTTGACACTGGTGGGGTCTCATCTTGAGTACTTTGTCCAATTTTGGCCCCACTTCAAGAAAGATGGACAGACTGGAAAGAGTCCAGCAGAGGGCAATAAAAATAATTAGAGGTCTGGGAAACATGACTTATGAGGAAAGGCTGAAAGAACAAGTGACATTTACTTTGGAGAAAGAACACTAAAGGGAGATTTGAAAACAGTCTTCAAATACCTGAAAGGTTATTATAAAGAGGATGGGATACACTTTTCTCTGTGGCTGTATGGGAGAGGACTAGGAGTCAGAGCCTCAACCTGGAGTAGAGAAACTTAAGTTGGAAATCAGAAACAACTTTGACTATGAAAGTGGTCAAGCATTGAAACAGGCTACCTAGAGAAGCTTCATCCCGGGACATTTTCACAAGCAACTTAGAAACTTGACCTAGATTGCTTAGTCAGGGATGAGGCTGCCTGGAGCAGGGGACTGGACTAGGTGACCTCATGAGGTACCTTCTAGCTCTACTTCCCTCTGATCCTCCTAGTGTTATTGAAGTGGACCTGTATAATTGTATAATACTTTATTAAGAAAACAGAGTTCAATGCCTTCAACCAAAACTAACAAAATGGTTTTCAATTTATCAGAATATAAATTCATATATGAATCTGAATATAAAGCCAATAAAATTATGAGTCCAAATACCCGAAATTCCTCAAAACTGCAGTTAGACAAAGTATCTT